TCTCACAATTTGTGTGTCTTGCAGAAGCAAATTTGTGGTTCCACAAGTAGCACATCATAGTGGCAGAAAGCATAGGTTGTGCCTTTCGCATAAGCAAATCCTTGATGTGCATGTTGTAAATGCGCATGCCATTTTTTTTGGAAGCACATCTGTGGTTCTTGCAAAAGCACAAGTTGTGCCTCTTGCGGAAAAAACCAAGCAAAAATGGAAAAGTCAAGAACCCAAAAAATCTAAAATTCAAAAACGCTCATGAAAAATATTTTAAAAATCCAGAAGGAGCGTCCAACACGCCACATGTGGTGGTGGCTGGGGCACCACTTGGCATGCTCGCAAGCAAAAACAAAACACCCTTCCTAGAGCATCCTAAGAGGTAACCTTTAGTTAGCTGCTCTCCTTTCACGCGGTTTATCATGGATGTGTTTGATCAGTTTTTTCAAGCGTTCTTTCTTTTTGTTTTTGTAGTGGTTTTGATAGGTTTTTTACATGGTATTTTTCGGTTTGTTCTCTGGTGATTTTGACTGGGTTTTCCCCGTTTGTTGATGGTTTATGTGTTTACTTCATCCGTCTTCCTCAATGTTCTGTGTGTTATTCACCTGTTTTTTTGTTTTTTTCTTCAATACGTGTCTAATTTTTTAAAAAAAGACATGGTACATTTTTGTATATATGTGGAGCATTTTTTGATACACGTGAAATAATTTTCAAATATGGATCTACTCCATCCGGTCCTTTTAGTCTGCATATAAGTTTTGTCCAAAGTCAAAGTATCTCTAATTTGACCAAACTTATAGAAAAAGTATCAGCATTCACAATAACAAACCAATATCACCGGATTCATTATGTAACGTAGTTTCATATTTTATATATTTGTATTGTACATGTTGATATTCTAAAATATATTTTTTGTCAAAGTTTGACTTGACACAAATCTAATACGCAGACTAAAAAGCACCGGATGGAGTACATGTTTTTGAAACGCGTGTTGAAACATTTTTTTCAATGATACACAACATTTTTACACTGTGTAAATTTTTTTAAGAGTTTTTTACCATTTATGCCGCTAGTAGCATCTCGCTACTCAGCTTTGCCATATGGACTTTCAGCTGCTCAAAAATGCCACTAGACATTATTACTGTCAGCTCAAAAGATATTTACCATGCCATATAACTAAAATAGCAATGGACCCACATGTCAGCACTGCCTCTTTCTCACTATGATACAATGTGGGTCTCACTCAATCCTCAAAAGCGTTCTTATTATCCTGTAAAATTATATGGTTGCTTACCGCTGACAAGTGGGGGCACACTTATCATTGTGAGATACTGTAGAGAGCTAACATGTAGGTCTAGAGGTATTTTGGCCATATAACATGGTCAACGAATTTGACCATACAATAACGGTGTCTAATGACACTTCTAAACAAATATCTAAGGGAACGATGGCATATTTTAAGTGTCTAATGCCATTTTGAGCCGACATCTCACGAAACGATGACTTTTTTAGCAGTGTAATTTCTAATGGCAAAAGTGAGTAGTGAGACATAGCTAGCGGCAATAATGATAAAAACCATTTTCTTAATGTCTTGAACATATTTTTTAAAACATTTGAGCATTATTTTAAATGTCACATGAATTTTCTTAAAGGTATGAAAGATTTTCAAAAAAATTACAAGAACTTTGTATAAACATTTTTTTCAATGTTATAAATATTTTTTTGAAAAAAGTGAAACTTTTACATACATTTTGAATGCCATTAAAAGTTTCTAAAAGTTGTGCCAACGATTTTTAACATTGCATAAATATTTTTTTTAAATGTCAGGGACATTTTTTAAGACACATGAACATTTTTTTATTTACATTTCTTTTGAATGCCAATAATATATTTTGAAAGTTGCACGGACACTTTTAAGTGCTGCATAAACATTTTCAATATAATATCTGTATTCAGGTTTTGCAATGTAAATAAAATTATAAAGGAAAAATGGAAATAAAAAAAATTGAAACCAACGAGTGAACGAAGCAGTGTCCGACGCAACTACGTTTCTTTGGTTGGCCCATTTAGGGAGCGATCTAGGCAACGATCTGCTGCGCTCGGGATCGTTGTAAACGGTACATTGCTACGGCCCGTCTCTTTAGTTGGGGTTTTTATTCTTCTTTTCACTTTTTATCTTTAAAAAATAATTCGGTGGTTTTTTTATATAGGTTCTCACAGGTTTTATTCATTTTTACTTTATTTTTTACTTTTTAACACATGTTTACATTTTTGTACACAAGGCATACATTTCGTAACATCAGGAATATTTTTTATGTACATTTAACATTGTTCAAACACATGATGAACATAGACTCAAAAAAATACATGATTAACATTTTCAAAATATATATTTTGATGTATATTTTTTTCATACACATTGTACATTTTTATATACATATAAAATGTTCTTTATACATTAAAAAATTCAAATACATTTTCTTGAATATGTTTTGAATACATACTAAATATCTGTTACATACACGTTGAAATATTTGTTTTCATGATACAAAAAAAATTTCTAAACTACGTTAACATTTTTTTACATTGTCCAAAATATTTGTTGAAAATGTCCAAAACATATTTTGAAACATGCGAACATTTTTTATATTTAAATTATATTTTTGAATTTTCAGGAATATTCTATCAATTACATGAATATTGTTTTGAAACTCCTGAACATTTACAATTTTTTGAAACTCGTGAACATGTTTTAAAGCTACTGCATTTTTTAAAAATTATACTAGTAAGAAAACATGTACATTGTGTTCACTTTTTTTGAATTTGCAGTGAACCTTTTATAGTAAAATGAATTACATTAAGTTTTTTTAATATACATATTTATTGTATATTAAAAATGTAGAAAAAGAATGAATGACAAAAAATGAACCCCGAGTTGGGCTGACGCATTTAGGGCATCCTTGAGGCAACGTCGTCATGAGTCTCACAGAAAGCGAGACATATCTCCACCCCGTCTTTCCCTAAAAAAAATCGCCACCCCGTCTTCATCGCTTGAAGCGCCCCGAATTGGCACGACGTCCACAACCCAATAGCACTTCCCTCAATGGCCTTGCTCGATCTAGGTCCTGAGTCGCTCGTCGCTCGGTTGCCCTCACTAGATAAAAAA